TTTGCTGGATGACTTCCAAAGACAAAACCGGAGAAACCCACAAGGAACTGAGCTTCATTGAGAGATTGATTGGTTGGTTGATTGGTTACCTGAGTGGCAATCGTTTGACTGACGCTTGTGCACACGCAACTCAATTCTGAACCTGGAACTCGGTCAGTCGCATGTCATTGTGTAGTGAATAGTTGTTCTCTCGATCCTTGTTTTGCAACATGACACGTGCTGATCTCGCAAGCCAGCATCAGTGCCAAAGCGCTTTCGATGGCCGCGTCGCTCCAGTCCGTCACGGACTCGGAAGCGCCGATGTGGACACAGCCTTCGCAGCTCTCTCCCAGCGCAACGCCTACCGAGGACAGGCGCAGAGAATTAGTGGAGCGCTCGTTGGCTAAATTCAATATCGACAAGTTGTCAAGAGCACAAGTGTCGCATCATCATAGCGCACACAACTCAAGGGCTTCGGTCGATCTCATTCAAAGATTACAACAAAAAGAGTGCCCCTGCTTCCAGGACATGCAGCAAGAGAGCATGCTGTCAAAAGCCGCTCGCTGTGTGCAGCTGGCGTGGAGTCGAATTTGCGAGAAAGTTGCCATAGACACGCTTGAGGAGACTGTTGTGCGCAGAAATCTCAAGCAGTCTGAAATTGAAACCAGTGTTACAGCCCTTGAGCCTGAGGGAAGCTGAAAAATCTGACTCAGTAGAAGAAAAACTGTTCAACAGTTGAACGCTGGCACTTTCCGACGATGCTTTGGCTAATGCGATTTCTTCATTGTTTCCCAAACACGCAGGACTCAGCCCTAGCCACCGTATCAACAACGTCTTCTTCTTGCACCGGCGCCTTTAGCGGGGAGATGGCGCTGGCAGTGATCGAGCGCACGGTGAACGCATCCAGGCGATTGCGCCTGCCGGTTTCTTTCAAGCCAGTTCGAGCACATGACCCTAGGGCTGCAACGAACCATGTTTAAGTTGAAACGTGGTTCCAAAGATATTTACCTTGGTGTAAAGGGATGACTAACATTTCCGGAGCGGATCCCGATTTCCCTTTACTGACATGGAAACGTTGTAGCACGAAAGGGGAGGCGCCGTGTTGTTGTTGCTGCTGCTGATTGTTGCTTGCTACATTGACTGTCGCTGCTATTGGTGAATTTGGTCTTTTGCTCCCACACATCTGTTGTTAGTTTGTTTGTTTGTCTTGGTGTTGGTGATAGTGTTGTTGTTGCGGTGCCTGCCTGAGGGAGCTGG